TGGGAAAAAGCATCATTTTGATGTTTAATCCTGCCATGACCTTATTACTTAACATCTTAGGACTCCAGAGTTCTCATTGAGTAATAATGACCAGCTCTTACATTTTAAGTTCTTTTTAAATTTCCAAACAGGGTACATGAGAGTTTTCAATATATAAGAAGGTCTTTAAAAAGTTCGTAGAAAATGTGCATTATTAAAAACTATGCTTATTTTATTTAAAAAAATTATTTATTTAATTTTCTTTCTTTTTTTCATGCTTACTAGGGAGAGACAGAGGCAGAGAGAGAAGGAATGTGAGAAAGCCACTGGGTCTGGGACTTGAACTGTGATTGGCCATGCAGGAGTCCAGCCATCTGCTGGCCCCAAACCATATTTATTTTTTGCACCAAAATAAACTCATTCTTTTTTTTGAGAGGTTTTTGCTAGAGGGCGCATGCGCTCTCCAGAGAGAAAGAGAGAGCCAGAAAGCAAGAAATCACCCTCTGGGGGGAAGGCCACGCCATAATCCCTTCTCTTCCATTTTCCTCTTGGGATCTTGGGCATGCATGCATAAATGCCTGGTGTGAGTTTAAGCCACTGGGTCCAAGACTTGAACCGTGGTCAACTACATGAGAGTCCAGCGACATAGCCATTATGTCAACTGCTGGTCCCCTCATTCTTTAATTCTATTTTCCCATGAGCTTTTTGAAGTCCTCTTATCCCCTGTTCTCTTTCTAAGTCACAATTCAATCAATGGGTTATTTTTATAATGAAAGACCCAGAATTCCAAGAGGATAGACATGAAGAAGAAGAGGTTTTCCAATTTTTTAAATCTCAGATAGCAGTGTATTATGGGTAGATCTCATGGGCACTAGTCTCTGGGCCCTCTGCTGAGATTTCACTACTCAAGCTATTTCAGAGTAGACTGGAGGCTTACCCTATCCTAGGAGTGGAGAAGTTTGCCCACAGTAAATCTCCATGACACATCTGAGTCATTGTTCCTCTTTGGTGAAGTGGCCTGTCTGCCTTTTCTATATCTGGGTTGAGAAGTAGAGATTAAATCCAGTTATGACTTTACTTGCTTGTGAGACTTGAAGATGGACTTCTGCTCTTCCCCTTTTCTCTAACGGAGTTATTACAAAGTAGTAAGGATATATAAATTCTCTGACAGTCATGATGTAAAGATTATGGAACATCCCATTCTTTTGTTCTTTC